TCCAATTTGTAATTTGCATGTTGTACTGTTCCTTTTGCTAACAACCATGCATTCTGTCTTCTTCCAAATGATGTTTAGTCCTTTCTTCTTGATTTCCTTCATTACCTTCTGTAGTTTTTTTTGTGGTTTTCTTTGCGCGTCTGCTACCAACACTGTATCATCTATATATCTTATGTTAAGATTGTGGCCGCCAATAATGAATCACGGTAGGATTTCATATCGTCAGAATCGCCCCACTGTATAGATTGAATTGATAGCCGAACGTGTACAAGTAAGGTGAAGCAGACGATAAAGTTTTTTTCGTCGTAAGAAACACGTGATCTTTAAATGTTAGATTTATCGATTTGTACACCCATACTTCAAAAATTCTGCACGTAATCACACATACAAAACAAATCGAAATTCTTTTAAAAATATTCGTGGTCATCAGATTGTAATAAGCTTTACAATATATAATTAGTAAATGTAGTTGTACTTAATAACAATATTTCCTAAGAATTAACTCATTGAAAATGAATTTTTAAAAAAAGCTTCATAAATTATTCAATTTAAAATTGTAAAAAAATGAAAACAAATCTTGTAAAAATTCATTTTTAGTCGAAAATCTTTTCTTCAGATAATATTGTGTTTAATATATATTATTCATAAAAGCAAATGAAAGCTTCTCTCATTAAATAATGTCCTAGTTTTATCGAGTTTTTTATTTTTCGATTCAGAACAGATTTTTGGTAAGACGGGGTCCGATTTTGCAAAAAAATATCGGCGATTTAAATTCTTCAAAGAATTCTGATTTTAACTGATATCGTTACTAACAATTATCTCGATGAATTTCTCAAGTTTTCATAAAATTAGTAGGGGAGTGAAACACATATAAAAAGAAAATATTTTTACGAAGATTTTCTAACTTTCTAAAATAATTTCATTCATTTGTGAATAAGTTCTGAAAATTTAATTAAAATCCGACAATTATGTGATTTTTGCAAGAATTTCCAAATGAATGTGCTTGTCACCGAAAAAAATAGGCGGAAATTTGCTATGCTAAATAGTACAATCCCTGATGCAAGAAAAACAAGTTTTTAATCAAAATTTCGAGTGTTCCAAAAAAGGAGTAAAAAATTTAATTAAATAATCAAAAAAATACATTCCTCTTAACGATTTTGCCGATAAAACTATATTTTTATTATGTTAGATTTGAAGTATGTTTTCATCACAGTATGCTGATTTTTAGCGTTTTCGTTGAGGTATCTAAAACATAGGTATACATCCTAAATATGTATAATTAATGTACTCTTACCAGCAAAAATAATAGTATACATGATTTTTTTTTCAGTTATTATTATTGTACTCTTTTACGTTGTTAATCTTTTCACCACTCTGCTTTGAAAACCTCTCGGAACAATATGCCATTTCCCAGTAATCTCCCTTGCAGTGGCGCAGATGAAAATACTTGACCATTTATGTAACAAGATTTATCATGACGAGAAACAACAAAAGTTAGTTTTGTAAAAAAAAAAAGCCATTTCTTATTATAATTTTTTCGCCTTATCTTTTAAGAAAATAATTACAACAGACACGTTGATGAAGTTGTCGAAAAACAAAATTTAAGTTCTTCGGCTAGATAATGGAGGTTACATATTCTAAATGCTCTGAAAAACAAGAAAACATCTTATTATACCATTTTTAGTTTTAATTTCATGATATCAGTAGAAATGTAATTCTTATTTGTTGATTTTAGACATTGAATTCTAATTTATTATTGGAATTCAAATGTCTGAATCGCGGTGAGTTATTATTTTCTATTTCAAAAGTAAATTCATTAATAGGTTCAATCTAGTTGATCCATTTAACAATATTTTTGATATTAATGTTTTCAGGTTAAATGATGTTGTTTTCATCGATATATCTGTGATATAATGAGACTTCCGAAGGATGTATTGAAACAGACCTAATTTAAAAAATTCTATAAATAAGAATACTTTGTAAAAGACCGGTGGTTGTTTGCGTGTTGTTATATTAGAAACACGTGTGTAACTCCTGATAGAATATTAAAAGGTCCAACTACAAGAAAATGGCCGTTCTTGAATTAAGTACAACTGAAGATATAAAGAAGACAAACAAAACTGATATATATATATATATATATATATATATATATATATATATATATATATATATATATATATTCTGATTGTACATTTCTCTGTTTTAATTTTGAATCTCCGTGGAAGCCTGATGAGCAGGAGCGAAACCGGTTGCTTCACCCCCCTTGTTGTTGAGTTTTTTTTATTATTATTTAATATTGTTTTAATATGTCTTGTAATATTAAATTTTACACTTTTATTTCGATCATTAAATTTTGTACCTACAAAAATATCTTTAAATATATATATATATATATATATGTATTAAACAAAACAATTTTACAATGGACAATAACATTTGTGTGTGTGTCAACATTGGTGTCTGTTCTTTGGTGAATGTTCGTACGTATGTGTATGTGTGTATAATGTTCATGGCGTCTCCCACAAATGGGAAGACGCGGATCCTCTAAGAGAGCTTACATTGTAGTCGCTGAAATGAAGAAATGAAAAAGAGAACGAGGTGAGAAGGCACACAGTATTTATGGTATAGGGAGAATGACCCCTAGTGAGAATTTGGTTAATTCACAAAAAATATCGGTGATTTAAATTCTTCAAAGAATTTTGTTTTAACTAATATAGTCACTAAAAATTATCTTGATGAATTTCCAGTAAGCAAAATACTCTGTGGTGTATTTCAAACAGAAATTATATTAACCGGAATCGATTTGTTCTATGAAACCGAACAAAACAGCCATTTTTGACACCTTTGTAAACAAAAGTTAATTCTCGGTTTTAAAAATCTTACAAAAATAAAATATATATTTCTGAAACGTTGTTTGAGTAAAATTAGCAAATTTAAAGTTAAGCTAATCTGATTTGAAGCAAATATTACTTACTTATAGCATAAAACATTTTATACAAACATTTCTTAACTACGGGGTCTTGTTTTTCTAACGTGTCAATCGATTTATTTACATTCGACTGACAGCCGAACGTGTACAAGTATGGTGAAGCAGACGATAACTCCGACAACTTGACGAAAATAATATTAAAATAGATTCTGGTTAAACATCTTAATAAAATGCTTTACTCATTGTATATTTTTCATTGAGTCAATTAATATTATTAGAAATTACATTATAAATTATAAGTAGGTACCTCCAAAAATACTTAAAAAAAAGAACCCCGAACTTAATAAACATAAACTTTTATCGTCAAAATCTTTGTTATTATTAAGAGTAAAGACCAGACGATTTTTTGATTATTAAATTATATTTTTAATCCTTTTTAGAACGTTCAAAATTTTGGTTGAAAATTTTATCGTTCTGGCATCATCGCTTGACCATAAATTAGTAAGGGACTAAAATACCTTTTTGCGGTGAAAAACGCATTGATTTGGAAATCCTTGCAAAAATCAGATCATTGTTGAAATTTAATGAAACCTTCAGGGCTTTTACGCTGCTTGATATTTTTCGATTGTAATTTTTATTGTTAAAATTTCGCATTTAAAATATTTTGGCAGATGAAAAAGTCGGAGACCTCGACCTGCATATGAACAACATTCGTTCTGTCCCGCCGGCTATCTCGAAGATGAGAAATCTCACCAGACTAGATCTAAGCAGAAACGGGATCTTATGTATGCATTCGACAGACTACAGCGGGCTTCCAGCAGACATGGAGAAACTGGTCAATCTTGTTGATCTCCGACTGTGCGAGTGTAATTTCGTCTGCATCCCTCCGGTTATATGGCGTCTTAAGAACCTACTCAACCTCGATTTGAGCCGAAACCTGTTGAACACCATACCACCTGAAATCGGCAATCTGACGTCGTTACGAACGCTCAATCTCAAACGTACCAATATAAGTACACTACCACCTGAAATTGCATATTGCCAGGAACTAGAGATTTTACTTTTGTGGGGAAACCAAATGGAAGAGCTACCAGAAACAATTTCCGATATTCCAAATTTAAAAGTATTAGCTATTAATTATCGGAATTTTTCCAGAATGATCGACTCTTATAGAGAAGTGCTTTTGTGTAGAGGCCAGATTATATCAGAACACATTCCAACGGCTGTTTTTGAGATGAGAGCGATAGAGAGTCTAAACTTGGAGGGCGCGAAAATAAACGTGATTCCATCTCAGTTGAGCACTGTCAACCTGAGGGAACTGAACCTATGTCAGAATTACCTGCAAAAATTACCTAAATCTTTCTTCAAATTGATTCGGCTGGAGATTCTAGATTTGTCGAGAAACCTCTTCCACACCTTGCCCGAAAGAATCGGGCAGCTGAAATCTCTTCGGAAGCTTTATTTCAGGAGTAACCTTTTCGAAAAGGTTCCAGTTTCACTTTGTATGCTGGAAAAACTTGAAGAACTGGATCTTTCAAAGAATCGCATTCGACACGTACCAAAAGAAATCGGAAATCTGTTGCAATTAACCAGCCTGGTTCTAAGAAATAACAACATTCAGAGCCTACCCGAGGATATATCAAAATTAACCAATCTTAAGACTTTGGATGTGGGCGAAAATTGTATCCGTGAACTGCCTTTGAAAATGTCTGATATGACTGGCCTCACTGAAGCGCACACTTACCACAAGCTCCACAAATATGGCCTGTGGGTGGACAAGAACCCGCTTCAACAGCCACCTCCCGAAATCTGGAGAACAACGAACACGCAAATAATATTTGATCATTTAAAAAGATTAAAAATAAGAAATGTAAAAGATATGCAACAATTGAAAGTAATCCTCATTGGGGAAAGTCAGTCTGGCAAGACTTGTTTGAAGAATGTGCTTGTGAACGGTTGGTCAGATTTAACGACGGGTAGCCAAGAGTCGACGAGAGTTTTGGATATTGCTACGGCCAGAACGCCTAATGGGGTCAAGTTTACGTTTTACGACCTTGGATGTGATCAGATGTATGCTATACTGTGGCCTTTGTTTCTAGATTCGAAATCTCTTACTCTCGTCGTTTACAACCACAGCACGTACACTAGCAACCGTTTCTTTGATTCTATTGGGCGTTGGCTACGACTGGCCTGGTTTTATATGCCCGAGACTACCGTAAAAATCACCGGAACGCATTCAGAAACTATGACAACTGAGCAAGTTGAGAAGACACTTTCTTTGGTGAAGGCTGATGTAAGTGAATATATCGAACGACACCGGCAAAATATACAAAAAGAAATGGCGGATATTTTGAGCTTAATTTCATCAAGCAACCAACCAAAAGAAAACCTAGACAAAAAACTTTTATACTCGCGACAGGAAAAGCTAAGTTACATTTTACAAATACCAAAAGTACAGTCTAATCCCAGTGCCGTTTCTTGTGACACCTGCAAAGACGGCGTTGGAAATCTTGTCAAAGAGTTGGAGACATTGACGGTTATTCGATCTTCGTTTCCCCACATCCACCAGCGAGTGCATTCAAGCTGGCATCTTTTTCGCGTTGCCATCAAAAAACGAACTGACCGGTTATTCCTATCTTGGGAAGAGATTCTAGAAATAACAGAGGAATTTCCTCCCCTGGATCACGATAACGACTCGCTTTACGAATGTTTACGGCACCTTCATAATACGGGCGAAATTTTGTGGTATTCTAGCGAGGAAGACGTCTCCCAGTTCATTTTTCACCAACCTCAGATGTTTGCAAATTTACTTGCTGATCTCTTCCGTAACGATCTTTCTGATTGGCTGACTGAAACCAATAAAGTTTTAGCGTGCAGAGGAGGTATGTCTGCCAAAAATATCGCCATTTCGAGGGATATGGTATTAAATGAGGGACGGATCAGCAGGCCCTTACTGAAAAGCATCTGGTTCTATCAAAGAAACATTAAACGCGACACATTTAACCGGCTCTTAGACATACTTCCCTTATTAAATATTTGTTACAAAGAGATAGATCCTAATCTTCTGAAAGCGAAACCCGCTTTACAATATCTTCTAGTCATTCCTTGGTTTTGCAAGTCTGACAATTATTCGAAGCTATCTGCTATATGGCCGTCCTCTGCTTCCGTCGGCACGATTGAGAAACGTATATCATTTAAATTTCCTTTCCAAATGCCAGTGGGGTTATTTGAAATAATTTGTGCTAGTCTGCAGGGTTGCTTTCATCTGCATACGTGTTGGTTGGACGGAGTCTATGGGGAAACTGATTCAACTAAGATCTTCATTCAAAAGATTACGTCAGACGCCGGGCAAGGTTCGGATGAAATTCAAATTCAGTGTCGTGGATTTAACCTGGTATCTGTCACCGAAATGTTACATTTGATAAATGAAGCCATCACTTCTACATTGGCGCGCGCCCCTGGCTTATATTATTTTTCCGAGGGAGAAGATGCTTGACTTACGTAACACACAACAATCAAGATTTAGGAATCATGGCGTCTGCTGTCATTCTATATATGTCACACAAAAGTTAATTTCATCATTTGTCTTCCATTATTATTTCTATTGTTTTTTTTCTTCCTTCTTCATTTTCTTTTATTTCATTCTCTTATTGTGCCAATTTACCCTTAAAATGTAAGAAAAGCTTAACGTCTTTAATGACATTGACAATTTCAAAACTTATTTAAATGAGAAAAGAAAAGAATTATGTGATAAATTATGATAATGAAAACCAATATCTTGAAAACTCCTTTTTTTAAAAAAAAAAAAGAAGACCTGTGGCTATTAAAATCAATATTAACCTTTGCTTTGAGCTTCCACTTGTAATCGTGTGTTCAATCCTTTGCCTGAATTTCTGGAATTAAATTTTCAGTAGAAAAAGGATTTGCAATAACTGAGTATAAAATCAGAACTAAAGAAGATATCTTTCGACATGGACAATGGAACGTGGACAATCCATCTGTAGATTCGAAATTCACTAGAGTTTGCCCGGATCGCTAAACACCTGAAGAAGGCTGGAGGAGACAACAAACAAAATGTCCTTATAGCAAAGATGAACATATTAATGCAAATGACATTAACTCCTCATTCAAGAAATTCAGGTAAACATATAAATGCTTAATGCCAGTTGAAGCTATAAATTGTTATTTGCACTATTCTTTTTACTTGCTGTATAGATTTTAAAAGAAAAAATCAAATAAACTTTGGATGAAAAAATGTCAATATACTAGTAAACGAAATGACTCATTTGATGTCAGGAAAGTCTAAGTAACATTGAGCCAAAATCAACAAATCCTTTGCCTACATAAATGGATATAATTCTACTTGACTCGCGCTGCGAACCTATTAATGAGGGTGCCAGGAAAGAGAGCATATTCCAGTTTACATTTGACCATTATGGGTATTAGTATATCAGTGAGATACCAACACCTTAATAAAACGAACGGAATAAAATTGCTGAAAGAAAGGAAAGCATTTTTCTCAAAGAGATGTTTTTTATACCACTATGACATACTAGAAATTATACACACACATACACACACACACACACACACATATATATATATATATATATATATATATATATATATATATATATATATATATATATATATATCCAACAAAAGACATTCATTTCTGTAGTTCCTTGCTAACAGCAAGCAGAAATATTTCCTCCTGATGATGGCCATTTCGGTCGAAACTAGTCGAGGAATTTAAATGGAATAATAATAATAAAAAAAACGAAAGAATATTAATCTACAACCCAGTGTGTCTAATGATTTTAATTTTTTAATTTTAATTTTCTTATTGTTCAAAAATATATAAATATATATATATATATATATATATATATATATATATATATATATATATATATATATATATATATATATATTTGTCCCTATTTGTTCAACACAGAGAAATTCTAAGATATGAATACAACAAGCAGTGTGAAAAGGCCAAAATTCCTGAATGTAGGCGAAGAAAAGAAATGTCAAATGAGTCACACCTGTGAACCAGTTAGAAAGCAAGATACAAATCTGAAATTAATTCCTTTTTCTCCCATGCCCTATTTTACTTGGGGACACACACACACACTCTCTCTCTCTCCTCTCTCTCTTCCCCTCTCTCTCTCTCTTTTCCCCTCTCTCTCTTCCCTCTCTCTCCCCCTCTCTCTCTCTCCTCTCTCTCCCCTCTCTCTCCTACCTCTCTCTCTCTACCTCTCTCTCCCCCTCTCTCTCTCTCTCTCTCTCATACGCTAAAGGACGCGAGAATCTTCCATATGAACTCTTTAAATATTGTATATTTTTAACTTTTTAGAAATATAAAATATTCTCTTTACATGTAAAATATATTTTTTATTCGTTTTTATAATGTCAAAAACTGCTGTATATTTAGATAAGGAGGTTATCCGAAAATAACCGCCTGTAATCCTACAAAACACCAAAAACCACATTAAATCCCAAATCATATATCCCACATAAGTGTAAACCAAAAAAACGAATAATTGTAAACTCTACAATGTTTCGAGACTTAACCGGAAATATTTTCTTTAATTTCACGCCCCTTCATAATATAGGCGATCATGACTCACACCCATTTTTTTTCTTTATTATCTGCTAATTTGTGAATTGTCATGCATTCTTGAGAAAGACAACGTAATAGCTCCCCATTGCCTTCTTCATGGTTTGTAACTCAGAATTTTCCTTCTTTTAAACTGGTTACAATCCAAAGATGGAGATCCCAGTCTAACATGCTATTTAGTCCATAGGTAGGATGGATTAACATCTTCCCCAAGAGTATTTTTTGAGAAAATGAAGGCAACAGACTATCCTGGAATTTGAACTTGCCCCGCCAATAGCCGTTACGGTAATTGCTCATTCCAAGGGAGAAAATTCTGTCTAAAAGTTAGCTATATCGTTTATGAGTTATTCCCCTTGCATATTTTATTTTATTTAGAAGTTCAACTAATGTGTTCGTGTGATTTTAAAATTATAAATTAAAAGTATAAATTTTAAATCTAAAGAATTATAGGTTAACAATTAAAATTATGAAAAATATATTAAAAATATCTATATTATATATTAGTCACAGTTTTATTTCCATTGGTTGGTGTATGTGTCTAATCCTCTGTGAAGCGTTGTCGAAGCATTAGTACCGTGAAGCTTTCAAACACCCCATATTATAGATATATTATTTAGTGCTTGATTCTATTTTATTTCCTATATATTATAAAATATTGAGTGATATTCTACATTTTATAGGATAAAAACAAAAGGTTTCATTTTTAAAAAATCGAATTAAAAATCAATATAAAAAATGAGTTTGTATGTTTAAGAGATTCAAATATGCAAAAATAGATTTAATTTTATTTTCCGTATTTAAAACAATTTGTGATCAGTTTGACGACTCCTCAAGTATATTTTCCTGTTTCAAGTAATGAACAAGAAGCTTACCAGGATCTTTGTATACGTTTCTACCCCACATACATAGATTTGGAAATTGGACACCTCGGCGTGGTGTAATGGTTAGCAAGCTTGTGAAAAGTGAGTTCGATCCTCAATGGTTGCTCCATACTTTCGCCCTCGTTAAGCTTGGAAAATCGCTAAACTGATTAGTTGTGCGCTTCGACGTGGTGTTAGCAAGGTTGTATGTCTCGTTAAATCAATTATGACTAAGTAGCGAGTTCGATGCTCACTGGGTGTTCCTTAATCTCGGCCTTGTTCCACAACTAAGCTATGCTTAGTAAATCACTAAACTCGCGTTATTCTTTAATGCAAACGTTAGTGTGTCGATAGCAGACAATGTATATTTCGTACAGGCGTTCAGCGGAAGTGTTCAAGTTTTATAAAATGAATCCAACCGACCTGTTGCATTTATATGAAATAACATTTTTTAAATTATAAAAAAAAACAAAAAACAAACGAAAGGAATATGAACAGAAAGTCATGCTTTATTGGTCAATTAATAAGTAGTGTCATGATTTAAAAAATAATGAAGAAAAATATTTATCCCAACGATTTTCATTTATTGTTTTAACCTTTAATGTTTGAAATTTTTATTAAAAAAAAAATCTAGTATAACCTTTCAGTTTTTTTTGTTTTTTTTCTCTCCATCTTTAAATAATTTTGCTCAAAACAAATGATCATTACAAGGATTTTGATACCGGTCTCTAAAATTTCCCCCAAAATAAAAGTCTTTTTCTTTTTGGTACGAAATCACCATTGAAGTGGTTGATACATTTTATGCGAAATTAAAAAAAAAAAGACTTCGTTCGGTTTCTCGAGGCAGTCTTCAAATTCAGAAGGATTATTCAAAGAGAGTAAGAAAATGCGTTGAAAGAGAAGACAGAGAGCTTAAGAACCTGGCAGTCGGGTTAGCATTCCTCGCCATTGTCACATCGTGTTAAGGTTTGGTTCCAATGAGTTCCCTCGGGGCATGACATAGAAACCAATCCACCATTTGCGCATGTGTAGAACTTGAGGCAGCTCTCAATATCCTCGTAGAAACCTTGTTCACACGGCATACAATGACGCATATTTGGGAAATAACACATTTTATCCACTGTGAAGGAAGAAAAATTAAACGACGCATAATTAGTTAGATAAATAGGCTATAAAAACATTTTTCAATACAATAGCATTCAAAAGTACTAGAGAATAAAAAAAACTATTGGTTCTTCTTCGTTATTTGTAACCAATCATATTTGTTATTTTTTACACCAATCACATTACGAGTTTTACTCCACTTTTAAAGCAACTCATGATTCAGTAAATTATAAAATATGTGAGAAAGTTTAATTACAAAGCGGATACAGAAGAAGTATATTTCATTTTAGTGTTCGTAACAGTTTTTCTCATACCAAATTTAGAATTACCTCCCTAAGATAGCTTTACTGTGCCTTATAAAAAAATAAAAATACAATTTAATTTCTGTGGTCAATAAGAATTTGTAAAAATAAAATAAATAATTTCAAATAAAAAAAAAACAAGTTGATTTCTTTGCATATAAAAATAAAACCAAAAAGAACGGCCAAAAGCATTATGATTTATTTAATACCTTTTTATTATTTATTTTTTTATAAATTCTTATTGATTTTTGTACCGTATCTATTCAGAATGTGGGCGATCATGACTCTCCACAACATCCTATCCTTTGTATTGCTCAGTAAGGTTAGTTTTTTTAATTATCCTTCCTACTCCAGGTCCTGCCATCCATTTTCACTAGGCTGTTAGGTAGGTTACTTTTCCCCACTTGCCTTCAATCCTGTGAGTGTGAAATTCTCCAGGCTCTCTTTCCTCATTATGCGTCTCAAAAATTTCAGCTGTCTTTCTGAATTTAAGCATGTTTCCTCTTTGTTTCCATTTTCTTTAAAACTTCCTCGTAGCTCACATGCTCCATCCATAGTATTCTCAGCATCCTTCTGTAGAACCATATCTCTGTTGCCTCAAGTCTCCACATCATTCGCGAGGAAATTTTGTAGCCTTTGAAATCCTTATAGGCGGATTGGCATTACATTGCGCTTCAACACGCTTTCCTTTGTTACTAATGAAATTTTCCCATTTCTTCGGGGGGGGGTCCAATGCGTCTTCGGATTTTGGTGTCACATTTTCCGCCCCTCGTTAAAACACTTCCCAGATACTTAGATTTTTGTACTTGATTTGGTTATCTCCAATTCGTACTTTGCATCTTGCAAAGTTCCTGTAGTTTTCGTTCGGTGTCTGCCATCAACACAGTGTCATTTGCGTATTTTATCTTATAACCGTGCCCACTGACGATAAATCCTGGTAAAGTCTTCAGCTCCCTTAGTATAGACTGGCTAGAGAGGCTGAATAAACCCTGTAAGAAGGTATATCATTGTCTTACGTTAATTTCTATTTTGGAATATCGATTCAATTCATTTTCTATTCAGGTGGTTTGTGCACAGCATAAGTTCTGGATTCTTCTAACATCTTCCTCAAATAGATTTAGTTTTCCAAGCCGTTCAAATACATCTTTTTTTTCCAAGCCGTTCATATACATCTTTTTTTTCCAAGCCGTTCAAATACATCTTTTTTTTCCAAGCCGTTCAAATACATCTTTTTGCTGTTCATCATCAAATGGATTTGCGCAAGCTATAAAACATCCCTCTATATTTGTATTGTTCTCTCCGATGACATTCCGATTATAAATATAGCATTTTTGGTTACCCTACGTTCGTTCTACAAGGAGCGAATATATCTTAACTGGGTTACTTTACTATCGATTGAAAAGCTACTGAGGTCCATTATAAATAAGTCATAAATAAATTTACAAGGATAAAACCTAGACAAAAGAGGACAATAATTGCTTTATACAGTTCACAAATAGTTCCGTTTTGTTTTTATTTTATATTTAAAATGTAAGATAATAAAAAACATACATGAAAATTAACTATGCTTTTATTTGATTCATAAATGCATTTGTGGGCCTCAAAAACGTTATCATCTGCGTTTATTATGTTGTTAAGATTGTAGCCACCAATAATAAATCCTCTAGGATTTCTAGTTCTTTTAGAATTTCCTAGCTCTCTCGGTTAAATAAACTTATTTCTTGTTCCAGTGCCTTTAAAAGATCCACACTGTTCTTGTCCCAAATTAAATTCTGCTACGCACTCTATTCATCAGAGAAATTCAATTATATTTCTTTCTTATTTTATTTATGGAATAAATATGTCCTCAGAATATCAAACTAGGTAAAGTTTATAAATTCTAATTCTAATTGAACACTGATTTTTTTTTTTTTTTTTTTTTTGCATAATGTCAGGTCAGAATATGAGACTAGGTAAAAAAATATTTAGGAGGTAAGCCATTATTTGGTATGCGAAAAATATTAACCCCAATCATAATCCTAGACAATCTGATAACGAACTTAATAGATAACGAAGATAGCACCAAAGTACAAGGAGGTGCTGAAAAGTTTCTCCTCTTAATCCTAACCCGAATCCAATAGCCCTTAAAAATCTGGTCATTTGATCAGACTTTTGGAAGTGGCTCAGACACCCACCCATATTTAAATGTCTTGGTCTCACCCGAGAAATATTTTTAAGAACACTGGGTATTAAATCACTGGTCATTTGCGAGTTGATTCTTCATTTTCAGAAATTGCAGCCTGTGTCTTAATGGAGAAGGAAACAGGATCAAAAATTACCTTCCAACATTTTTTTTTTAACCACAACCAAAATATAATGATTTCAGACAGAGAAAGATATATTTTATTAGTCTATGGAACTGGCCAGTGATAC